AGTGCACTCCATAAATGTCTGTCCGCGCCTTTCGAATTCGGTTTGGAATATTCAACCTCCAAGGGATTTGCCTTTTCCGAAATTTTTGCCTATTGGACGCAATGTGGACCCATTTCGCTTAAGAAATTGAAGCGAATTAAGCAATTCCTCGAACTATCCACACGGAACGTCGACAGAACTTTCTTTGGGGCAACCATTCTCCTACTTACCAATTCTCTACCAACATCACCGCGGCACTGTCCAGATCCAAGAACGGCTTAGTCGCTTGCTATTTGCTTATATTGTTGGCCTGGTTTATAAGCTCCTCCTACACCTTTAAATACTTCGCCTCATAGCTAAAATACCTTGCACATCCTTTGAATTAATAATTGGAGTCAAAAAAACACTTTCAAGACAATGTGCAAAAAAGCCTCCACAAATGATTTCGAACTCAGGTGCCGCCGCGGGGTGACCAACGAGTTCACGAATAGACTACCGCCGCGCGTTAAGCAGGCTGAAATAAATAAAGGAGCAAACATTCTGCGTACTACAAACGACTGCAACTCTGGATATATCGCTGTGACGTCACCTCTCGCTAAACGAGCAAGGAGTTTAATAAGCTGCATGGATATTAAATACGAAGACGAAGCCTGTACGACATGTTTCGGACTCCATCGAAAATTTGGGAAAATGGAGAAAGAGACTTAGGGCCTTAAAGTGGAGATGGAGAGGTTGAGGAGTCTCCCTCGCCATTCATCCAAAAAGAATGAAAGTGAGCAAACATACGTAAACACTGCTTCCTCGACTGTGTCAACAGAGAAGAAAGAAAACAGTCGGTCGCCGGAGTTCGATATGAATGAAAACCAGTGTCTTGTGCAGGAAAAGCGGGGCCAGACGTGATCCCAGCGAACAAAAAGAATTCTCAGGCACCTCGAAAAGGCACAAAGAGTCAGAAAAGGGAACAAGATTTGGCTATAGCGCAAACGAAAATCGTGCCCCTGAACATGAAAAATGATCTAAAGATCGTAGTAAACAGGCAGCCATGCGTTAGTTCTACCGAATCAAATCTTCCCAAATCGGTAAATGGCGGTAGTCGGGATATCCGTGATGAAGTCTCTGCAGGTATGATTAAACCACAAGGCTCTCTTGTTGATCGTAGTAAGTGCTTTGTCATCAAAGGCATGCCTGCGTCTGTTTCCGACACTCTAAAGGACTGAATAGAGCATGATATAGAACTATTCCAGGAATATCTCAAATCGATCTTAATAGGAGACGAGAGAGTCCCCGGATCAAAGACCTTCATGATGGGCTAGATAAAAGACCCAAGACATGAACCAGACCAACCGAGACCATTAAAATTATCTTCGAGAATGACGAAAAGCGCAGTTACTGTTGAGCAGGAAATCTGCGCTCCAAAATGCCCATCCATCAGCTTTATTTCAGTGGGTCTTTTCGCCCGCGGAGCGAGAAAATTGGAGGGGGCTCAAAATGGACGTCCTCAGGCGGTCGAGTCTGGGCGAGACAAATCTCAGAATACTGAACGGTAAAATTGCACGAGTCCAGAGGCCATTCCTCTAGAGAAAGCCCATAATTCTAACAGCTTATGAGGAACGGGAAGCAGATTATCCCAATCAGCTTAGAACGGCTTTTGCATTCAATCCCATGAAATGGAGAAACACCTGTACGACGGAGTTGCACGTGCCAAATTAAGATTTTTGTATACTAATGCTAAAAGTCTTGCTTCGGAGACAGAAGAAATCAACGCGCTATATTCAGAACGAATCCCCGTCATCGGCATAACGGAAACCTGGCTTATGCCG